ATTTCTGCAGTACTGAAAACAGTCGGGAGAGAAGCCGGGAGGGTGATTTTCTGGGGAAATATTAATGAGTTACATGGGTGCTGGCTGAAGATGTCAGGGGAGAGTTAAAAGCTAGAGGGGCCTGGTGGCATTTGGGAAAGAGGGCTATCTATCTTAGGAAAAGCTAAGCAAGTGTGAAGTCAGGGACACCTGAGGCCACAGCTGGGCACTTTCTTTCCCCACCTACTGAGGTTGCTGTTGTCTGATCTTCGCAGTTGCTCCTTTTCTGCATTGATTGAACATGAGGAGCCAGAGAGGCCACATGAAAGCTTGGCAGAGAAAGGACCATAGCGACCTCTGCTGTCTGGCTGTAATAATTACACGTTAATTCCTGCAGTCCAGCTGCATGCGAGGCTATGGCAATGCATGACTGCGCTGCTTGGTGGGTGACAGCTGGTAGCCCTATCAATGCAGGATGTATACCATCTGCCTGCATGTTATAATAATGCATATATGAAAAAAGCCTGAACCGATGAATAATTATTGTAGAGAGTCTAGATGAGTTTAATTAAGTCAAAGGTGTGAGTCCAACCTGACAATTTTTTATTGCTTTTTTTTCCTATGGTGAGTCTATTTTAAATCCTCCTGGACAGAAATAAACAGAAAGATTATTAAAAACCATTGAACTTCATCCTTCAAACTGTTGGAAGAACACCTCACCTCGGGTTCCTTAAAATGAGGACCTTCCTCTCCAACTCATCTGATGAAGTGGGTCTTACCCACGAAAGTTCATGATACTATTTATTTGTCTTAGAGTCTCAGGTGCCATGGGACTACTTGTTCTTCATTGAGGGAGAGCCACAGCCTTTAGGTCTTTGGTGGATGTCCACACCTTCAGACATGGCAGCCAGCACAGTATATCTGCTGCACTGCTCTTCCTTTTGAAAATTGTGTGTCCTCGAGTCCACATTAAAAATGATCAAAGGAAGGAACTATGAAAATATGATCTATATATCCAACTGGTAATCTAGTCTTTCTTGCAGTTGTACTGACCTTCAACAGGAAATACCATTTTTTGTCATAATCCTGGTTGCTATGGGGTGAGACCTATCAATTTCCTGGCCACATAGTCAGTACACTTTGAGCACCATTGTTCAGCAGCCTGATAATTCCTGTCTGATACCCACCTGCTGTGAGCTCCTCTACCTCAAAGTATCTCTTACCAGATGAGGTCAGGTGAGATGTTCTCCCATTTGAAATATCTGTATCACTAACATCAGTCTGTTCTTTGAACCCTGATTATTTGGCCACTTGTTGGTTACTCCACTTTCTTATTTACTATTCCTTCCACTTGAGAACACAGGAAAACTCTCCTACTTAAGTGCCATGCTATGCAAACTAATGTTCTGGTGCTCTATGTGCTGCCCAACCCAATTTAACTCTGCTTCTTGCCATTCCAAGAGAGCATGCCAGCAGCAATCATACCTTTCCAGTGTCCCACCAGATGTCTCCAAAATGGTCTCTAGTCTGAGATAATTTCTCTGACATTTTACCTGTTGCCAGGGCTGGAATTACCTCCTTGGTCCTTCAGGGGATTATTATATCCTTACCACAGTTATCCTATATTCTGCAATGGCATCATTTTGGCCAGTTACAGGAATGCATTTTCCAGTTGTAATGCATGTTTTATCCCCAGCCAATGTCCTGTAGTCAGAGTCCTGTACCACAATAAAAATCCCATGCTGATTTAATGTTAATTTCTACAACATTTTGGCAATTACTCATTATTTCCATCTATTGGCTATTTAACCCACTGACTCCCACTCTACTATGTCCTGAGCTCTCTGTTCCCAGAACCTCAGGACTGTTCCCACTTCAGCTGGTGGATCTATTCCAGTTCATTTGCTAGTGGGATGGGTTCATCCAGCCTTGCTGTCTCCAGACATCCCCTTTGTCCATATTAGCTGTATCCAGATATCCCCTTTGTATACATTACAAATGAAATAGTTTCACGATAGGGCATCCTGTATAGCTGTGTCTGCAGGCAGCCTGAGCTGATTTCTGCAGTCTGAGTGTTTCTCTGGCCTAGCATTTCTGGTTTATACATGTTTTCTGAGACCAAACTTCATGTAGAGGAGCCCTAGATGGCTGTTCCAATGCCTTTTTTTTTTTTTGCAAGGCTTTTCTAGTTATCTCTAGTCAGGGGATGCAGACAAATGCAAACCATCCATGACTTGCCTTTCAGTAGCAGCTCAAAAAATCCACCTTCATTCCCTCAGACCATCGAGTCAGCCCATTCAAAGGGTCCCTATCCAGATGCTCCAATCATCCCCCTGTAAATTGTTCAGCCTTAAAAAATAATGTTTTTCAGTCTTTCCATTACTGAGGTTCCCAAGTGACAGGTTACCCTTTTCTTTGTTGCCATCTTCCATTTTCCTTCCTTACTCTACAAAGTATTGATTCCATTGTTCCACCAGTGTTGCATGAACTTGCAGCCTCTTTCTTGATGAGATAGAATCATAGAATACTAGAAATACTAGAACTGGAAGGGACCTCGAGAGATAATCAAAGCCAGTCCCCTGACCTCACGGCAGGACCAAGCACCGTCTATATCATCCCTGATAGATACCTGCCTAACCTGCTTTTAAATATCTCCAGTGATGGAGATTCCACAACCTCCCTAGGCAATTTATTCCAGTGTTTAACCACCCTGACAGGAAGTTTTTCCTAACGTCCAATCTAAACCTTCCTTGCTGCAGTTTAAGCCCATTGCTTCTTGTCCTATCATCAGAGGCCAAGGAGAACAATTCCCCCCCCCCCATTGGGCTGCTGGGGCTCCTGACTCCAAAACACTTTAGACTTTTGCAGGAAACACAGATTCACCCCTCTTCAGTTTCCTGAGAGTCGGGTCCTTCCTATCTGGAAAAAGCCATTCCCTTTAGGATAGTGATAGAAATGTAGCCGTGTTAGTCTGGTGTAGCTGAAGCAAAATACAGGACTATGTAGCACTTTAAAGACTAACAAGATGGTTTATTAGATGATGAGCTTTCGTGGGCCAGACCCACTTCCTCAGATCAAATAGTGAATTGTATCCTTTGGTATACATGGTTGTGACTATTTTCTTCCACTATTTGATCTGAGGAAGTGGGTCTGGCCCACGAAAGCTCATCATCTAATAAACCATCTTGTTAGTCTTTAAAGTGCTACATAGTCCAGTATTTTGATTCCCTTTAGGGGCTGTCTGTGGAAGTGACACAAAGACATACACAGTCTGCTCAGTAATTCTTTTATAGATTTTTAAGTTTCCCCAAAACAAAACTCTATCCAAACAAATCATTCCATGACATACACAATTCACTCTCTGAGAAGAGGATGAGAGAAAGGAGAAACCATAAATGACAGAATTGGTTACATTGCTTAATGCTCTACTAAAAACATTTGGTTGCTACAAGAATGAGGGTGGTATAAGAAGTTGAATAGAATAGACAAAATTAAATTTATCTTTACACACAATAGAAACCATATTTTGGGACAGTTGTATCCTAACACAAGGCCCACTAAAGTCACTAGGAATCTTTCTATGACTTCAGTATGCTTTGAATGGATTCCTTATAGCAATCAGCAAAGTTCTTCTCAGAATCATTTCAAGAATTTTCCTCACTCAATCAAAAGTCTACTAAAGTCAATGCAGATCTTTCCATTTCAATGTAACCAAGTCTCTAATGCCAAAATGCTGTGTTCCTCATGCAAAATACTTCAACAGATATTTCCTTAGGCTCAGGTACAGTAAGAGATATTGTAGGTAACAGGAGGAACTTAAACAATTGTATAGAATGGTAGCTGACATAGTAGACTCTGCTTCTGTCTGGCCAATAAGAA